GAACCAAGGATAATCCAGCTGACTCTTTATCTAGGGGACAACTCCCCTCGGAGTTTCTCAACAATCAACTGTGGTTTAATGGTCCTCCTTGGCTCAAATAAAATCATAGCGATTGGCCTATCCCCATTCAAACGGTTCCATCAGAAATTCCCGGTCTTAGAAAAAACATTTGCCTGGTAACGGCTTCCATCGATGTTTTCCGACGTTTCTCATCCTATACCACACTCGTACATTCCGTTGCGTACTGTTTACGCATACGCAAATCCAACCCCTTTAAGGGTAAGAGTCTAAGCGTAATAGAAAATGCGCAAGCGGAACTCAAAATTTTGCTATTGATACAAAACGAGCAATACAGCTATGAAATCGCGCAAATCAGGGAAACCGGAGAGACGAAGAACCTCCGATTCCGGGGTCTCAATCCGTTCATTGACCAACAAGGTCTACTGCGAGTTGGTGATCGTTTGAAACACGCGCCCATTTCATTCACTAAAAAACATCCTATCTTATTGCCTTCCAATCATCACGTAACAGACCTGATAATTCGCGAAATTCACAAAAACACTTATCATTCTAGAATTCAAAGTACGCTTTACAATATCCGGCATCGATTCTGGTTACTCGACGGAAAAAATCAAATACGTCGAATGGCGAGGCGATGTGTCGATTGCATTCGACATCGTCCCATCACGATCCACGGTAAAATGGCGGATTTACCAAACGTACGCGTTAACGAATCAGCTGCGTTTTCTCACGTCGGTGTAGATTACTTCGGACTTTATATATCAAGGAAAAGAAACTTCGAAACCGAACTCGAATCAAGGCATATGGGTGCGTCTTCATTTGCATGGCCACCAAGGCTATACATATCGAAATTGTAAGCGACTTGACAACCGATGGTTTCCTGGGCGCTTTCGGGCGATTTATTAGCCGTAGGGGAATTCCTTCTCATGTTTATTCCGACAACGGAACGAACTTCGTGGGCGCAAATAATGAATTGCGGGAACTTTATCTTCTGCTCGAATCCGAGCAATATCAGGGTCTAATTAACGAATATGCCGTGCGCAAAAACATTACGTGGCAGTTCAATCCTCCCCTGTCGCCACACTTTGGGGGCATTTGGGAGGTTGCTGTAAAATCGTTCAAGCACCACTTCAAGCGAGTAGTAAAAAATCAACTTCTTACGTTTGAAAAATTGAACACGCTCGCGATACAAATCGAAGCGATCCTCAATTCTCGTCCCCTCTGTTCATTATCTAGTGATCCCAACGATTCTCTAGCATTAACGCCTGCTCATCTTTTAATAGGGCGTCCGCTCACCATGCTGCCTGAAAATGATCTTTCTGACGTTCCAGATAACCGTCTCAAGGTCTGGCAATTTATCACCAGGGCTCGCCAGGACTTTTGGAAACGCTGGCATTTGGAGTATCTCAACGAGCTCTAGAAACGGCAAAAATGGCATACGTCACGAGGCGAACTGCAGTCCGACAATGTCGTGCTTATCATGGACAAAAACCAACCATGCATGAGGTAGCAGCTGGGAGTGGTCGTTGAGGTCCATCCAGGAGATGATGGAGTTGCACGCGTCGCAACGGTCCGCACTGCGCAAGGATCATTCAAGCGGAATATCACCCTTTTATGTCCTCTGCTGGACAATATCTGATTGTCGATAATGTAACATGTACCTATATGTATTAATTGGTGAATCTGTAATATATATTGCCATTTGTACATCACACATCACGACACATTCATATCGGCTTGCTCACCCTTTCGCAACGGGGGGAGTATGTCGAGTCGAATCCCAAAAAAAAGGGGGAAACACGTAGCCCGATATTGCGTCGCATAAACAGACACGTGTCGTTGATCGAGAACACGTGCGTTTCGGATAGCTACGTCTATAGCTTGAATCCGGTTTATACAGGATAATTCCCTCGCTAATGTCAAGTTGGAAGAATATTTCGAGGGAACAGATTGCGGTATCGACAGTTCTTGCGAACCTCTCTCGATTTGATCTACGTCTGCAACGACTGGCTTTTACAACAGAAATTACTACACGTCAACAGCTGCAAAAAGAATTGCAAGCTTTCACTTTTCTGAAACGAAAATTTTCTGGTGTAGACGACATTAGGTCTGTTCCTGATTTCAAACGACCGAAGAATATAACATTTGGTTTGAAATGTTTCCACCGAGGCAGCCGTTAAGGGCGCTTTTGGCCACTTACGTAGACTGCTAGAAATTGACTCGACAGGATGCAAAACACTTACCACACTGAGACGAGGGGCCAAGGTACCCTCAAATTATCTATGCAATGAAATTATATATGCAATAGATTCATTGCCGTGGCGACCCAACGGTCGTAGCGGGAGATCTCATGTTCACCGTTAAAGGGAGCCGTTATAAAATAATTTTAAGAAAAAAAATACGCCGACTTCGAAATGCACTAAAAAGTATAAAATAATTTCTATTTCCTAATGAAGCAATTTCTATTTCATTCGATCATACAATTACGTAACAGATATGAATGAAACCTATTTACTCGTTAGGTAGTATATTAAATACATTTCAACCTTTTCGGAGGCGGCGCAAAACCTCCTTTTTCGAAGTCGGTTAAACAAATGTATACACTTGACCGCCACTGTTTTAACACGCGATGGTGCCCTATCTTTGGTCCATGGCTTGGTGATATCAGGAACACGTTTCCCTATTTCAGAACTAAACATATTGCCAGCTAAGAGTGGTGATAAGAATTCGGGAGATCACGTAATTGTGCCGCCCAGGACTATAGGTACTCACTTAGAAGGATTTGGAAAAGGATATAAGATCCCTTTAGGACCAATTTCAGAGGAGAGAGTCATATTTTTCTTGGCCTCCCGTGCCGATTGCGAGAAACTGTGCGCTTACTTTAAGCGTGAAGTGGGAGGGGCTAGGGATTATATCCCAATACACGGCGGAACTACCCTTGACACCGACTCCATGCCGGCCAACTGTTGGTGCTTCTACACTGACGTTGTGGGGCAAGCTGTTACTATACCAGGCTGCGTTGCAGTGGTTGACTTCATGGAGGAGATTAAACCGTTGTCTCGACTGGAATTTGTCGGCAAGAGTTTGCTTTACACATACTCCCTGACTCGTAGAATCATAGGGAAAGCGACTAGCAAACAACGTAAGGGCAGAACTGGCAGGACGAACAGGGGCTACTATCTGACCCCAATAGGGGTCCCAGTTGTCAGGGATTATGAGGTTGACGAGAGAATCGCGGCTGTCGCAATGTTGGATCTAGAGGCAAACCAGCGGTTGCGATGGGACGCAATCGAATCACACCATAACCGGGCTTTAGTCAACACCCTGACAGAGCTAGAATGGATACTGCCCAAAAATCTTGGGCTCAGTGATTGGTGGAGGAAAGTGCATGCAACCTTGAACGCTGACCCTAGAGCGAATTTGGCGACAGGCAAGCGTATGATTAGCTGGAGCCTGACGCAAAAACTAGATATCGTGCGAGACATAAGTGGTGACTTAGTTTATCTCTACTTAAATACCGCCAAGAGGGGGTAATACAAGTAGTTTATCAAAATTAGAAGACTATTGGGACCATGTGTGTGAAATGCAATTGTGTATGTGTGCATGAGACGAACCTGAGTATGTGTGGACCTAATATATATATATATATCTGACGCACCTTATAGGATTGTTGGTAGGTGCTTTAATAACTTACTTGACCTAACTCCCTCTGGAAGGTGGGGCTGCCTGCGTACCCACAGGTAAGTGTACCCTTCTTCTTGGGGGCAACTGCCATAGCCCGTCCCAAGCCGGGTTGCCAAAAGTAGAGGGGCCTAACCGTACCTAACCTTTTTTTTTTTCTTTCTTTTTTTTTTTTTTTTTTTTTTAGGGG